CGAGGGGAATAAGACTACAAAGGAAGAAAGGGTGGTGGAAAGGGGTGGGGACGGAGGATGGGCCAGGAGGCCAAGCTAAGCTTGAGGGTCTGTGTTGGCCACTGCTACAGTGGTGGGGGTGAGGGGCTGCAGGTGGCAGGGCTCAGAGCTAATACAAAAGCTTGAAGTGTGAATAGGTGGGGAGGGGATGCTCCTGAATCGGCAGTCCATTTTGGCATTCATGTCCTGGTCATCTAACCAGCAGGTCTAACCACCTGTTTGTTCCAGGTCCTGGCAGAGTGTTGCGGGCACAGCAGGGACTCCCAGTGGGGGGGAGACAGGCACATGCAGTCATACCCCATGGTGGCCAGCCCTGGGCATGGTGCTCAGGGGGCCCTCCGAGAGCCCAACGCTTGAGGAACAAAGTGACTCCAAGCTTCAGCTTGCCCTAGTGGCGAAGGGGTGGGGCAGTCTGGGCACAGTATGGAGTTGTCAACAGCATGCATTCCTTTCTGAAAAGTGTCCCAATGAGTTTCTCCAAAGCCCAGGAGGAAGGTCCAGTGGCCAGTTTCTGTGGCTGCACACATGTTCACACAGCTCCCGGAAGCCGCCGCTGGGAGTCGCTGGGAATTTGGACGGTGACCTCCCAGCCCGGTCTGCATGCCCTCATAAGAAAGATGAGCAGGTGATGCTTAGGCAGGTTGGCTCAGTGGCTGAGTGTCAGCCTATGAACCAGGAGATCGCAGTTCAATTCCTGGTCAGGGCACATGCCCAGGTGTAGGCTGGATCCCCAATGGAGGGCATGTAGGTGGCAGCCAACCAAGGATTCACTCTCATCAATGTTTTCCTCCTACCCCTTTTCTCCCCTCCTCTGCTCTCTCTCTCTCCCTCTCCCTGAAATCAATAAAAACATTAAAAAAAAAAAAAAAAAAAAGAGCCCTAAGCTGGTTTGGCTCAGTGGATAGAGCATTGGCCTGCGGACAGAAAGTCCCGGGTTCGATTTCCAGGAGGTGTGGGCTTGATCCCCAGGGTGGGGCATGCAGGAGGCAGCCGGTCAATGATTATCTCTCATCACTGATGTTTCTCTCTCTCCCCCTCCCTTCCTCTCTAAAATCAATAAAATATATTAAAGAGAGAGGTGTAAATGTGTTCCAGGAGGCTCCCGGCTCTGGAATTCTGTGTTCTACAATTCTCTAGTTTACTTCGTGGTGTACAAATTACCATTGCCAACTGAATTCTGCTTTGCACAGCCTGCTTGAAGGAATCTTACAGTAAGCACTGCTGCCAATGTGAAGATTGTGTGTGTAGATTCTCTGGAAGGGTTTCCTTGAGAGAATACCTCCAGTTATGAGACTGTGTGACCAGAGTCACAGTTTCAGATCTGCCACCTCATCTCATCTTCCAACAGCCCCACACCGTGGACACAGGATACGTGACAAGGGGAGGCCCGTGCAACTTCACCCACGTCCCTGGGAATGGGACGTGACAGGAACACTCCACCCCCCGCCCACAGAGCTCCCTGCCCTGCTTCACCCCCCAGGGGCACAGATAGGAAGTGAGCCCAGAGCTCCCAGGCCTCTGGTTAGGAAGTCTCAGGGATGCTCGGCTCAGGCTGGTGAGCAGGGGGCGAGCAGAGGAAGCTGGTTCTCCTCTTCCCGGTTATGTGGGAGAGCTTGCACCGGCAGACCTGCAGAGGGCCCCGGTGTGGGGAGGGTGTGAGGAAGCAGGGCTCTCCCAGGGTAGGAGCCATCAGATCCCAGCCTCCTTCCCATGAGGTGCAGTGGGCTTCCCGGGGGCTCTGCCCACTTGCCTCAGGGGTGGAGGGCCTCCAGGTCATCGCTAACCTGTGCTCACAGCAGCCACGGGTCTGGGCGGGATCCCAAGCCCAGAGCCTGGACCCTCAGCAGTTGCTCCCGCCAGCCCGGCTGCTGCAGAAGGAGCCCACCCGCCGTGCTCACTGCCCAGGATGTGAGCTGGCGTGGCTCCCTCCCAGAGAGCCAGAACCGGGGGGCTAGGGCCATCCCCTCAGTCCCGCACTCCAGATAAAACCTCGAGCAGCTGCTCAGTGCCTGGTGCTGCGCTGCTCTGGAGGTGAAGAGTATCTGCAGATCCTCGCCCTTGGGAAGTCACCGTGGGGTGGGGAGGCTCCCAACAGGCCATGGAACACAACTGGTTCCACCTAGGAAGTCAGGCAAGGCTTCTCAGCAGGAAGATACCTGAGGACGGACAGGAGTTAACCCTCCAGCCCTCCCTGCTCAGGGTATTCAAGCCAGGAGGGTCCCCTTTTTCTTTCAGCTTCCAAACAGCAGATATCAACATTCCCACCCCAGCAGGAGCCCTCCTCTGCCTTCAAACGTGGATCCTCCAGAAAAAGGCAGTTGGGGTGCAGCCTCCATGCTGTCCCTTCTCTACACCTCCCAGCCTTGTCACGATGGGGGTCATACTGATGGGAGTCCATATCAAGGACCCCCATTATGACCCCCAGGCTCTAGTCTGCATCTCCTGGACCCTGCAATTCACTTAGCCTCAACCACTCTAGAAAAAGGTCTCCCATCCACGTTGGCCCTTTCATGTTAAAATCCCCAGATAAACCCCCTTCTCCTTCAGGAAGCTTTACCTAAGTCACCACCTTTCCCACACCATGTAGCACTAAGTTCCCGCTTTCATTACTACAGATGGACGGACACCCACAAACACGAGCAGAATCCTGATGCTGGGGCACCAGCCAGCCACACGGGCTCAGTCCATATGCTGTATTGATCGTTAACAGCTGGAGTTTATTGAGCTCTGACCAGGAGTTGGGCACAACTTCAAGCTCATCGCCTGAGTTATCTTTACAGCGACTGGCACGTTAGAGACGTGTTATCATTTCATAGATAAGGAAACCGAGGCTCACTCAGAGCTAGGACATGGCTATCAAACCAAAACGCACTGGGAAGGAGTCGGGATGCTGGGTTGGATGTGCTTGTGCTATAAGCTGCGTGATCCGCCTGTCTAAGAAGGTAAGCTCCGGGGGGACCTTGGCCAGGGATAATTCCTTTGCTAAGAAGACTCACTCACTATGAGCTGTGTGGGTTTTTTTTTTGTTTTTGTTTTTTGTTTGTTTGTTTGTTTGTTTTTTAGCACTGAATCATAGGATTCCAGCAGTTTGGGGGTCACGCCATCCCTGATAACCCCAGGTGGCCACCCCTTCAGAAGGGCAGAGATGGAGCAGTCCTGACCAACTCCCTCCACAGCCACTAAACACCCAGCCTGCACCCTCAGTCTTTTGGGGCCATTCTGTATGCAAATAATAATAACCCCTTGCTGACTTGCACTTTGTAACTCATTTCCCTTTATCGCTGCATATTCTAATAACGGTATTTGGGGGAGCTCAGAGAAGCCAAGTGACTTGCTGATGGGGGCAGGAGGGAGGTTCTGGCCGGTTTTTGTTTACATTTATTTACCACTCATCAAGCTCCTGCCATGTGCCAGGCCCCGTGCTAGGCCTGAGGACGGCATCCTAGGAGAGATGGGGCTTCGGAAGATAGCCCAGCCTTGAAGCCAGCAGAGCTGGGCTTGCAGCTTTTCCCATAGGAGGCTCTAGGGCACCTCCTCTTAGGGCAGGAGGATGGATGTCTCGCCCCCAAAGCCTCACCCTCTCCTCAAAGCTCAGCCTCTGTAAGCCAGAAGCACTGGGAACTAGCTAGCCAGTTTCCCTCCAGTGACGCCGAGAGAGCTCCTCACAGAGAGGGGACTTGGCCAGGTCCACAGTGAAGTCGGCCGCCCGGCGGGCAGGGCTGAGAGCACTTTCTCTAGCATCTTCTCAGCCCTGGTGGTGGTACTCATCACCAGGGACTGCCATCCGCAGAGTTGCTCCCACCATTCCTCACACTGCGCCCCCTCCTCCAGGGCACACCCTTTGTTCGCTGGGAGTGCCCTTCCCTCTCCGGCCAGGCTGGTGGAGCGTGTGTGCTGAGCGCCAGCCCTCCGCACCGCCGAAGCTTCCCAGCGGTGCCCATGCAGAGAGACCCTACACAGTGCCGCCATCCCAGCCCACCCTCCCCCTGGCTGGGCTCTCACCCAGGCCCCCCTGACCCTGGGCAGGAACTTCACTCGCCCTGACCACAGACTCAGGGGGGCAGGAAAGACACGCACCTCTGTCTGGGGCTGAGACCCCAGCCATTCCCAGGGGCTGTGGGACACCTGCTCTGATTGGGTTTGCAGCCACCGCCTGTTCCCCCTCCCAAAAAAGGGTAACGTTTTACCTTCAGAAAGAACAAGGGTGTGTTCCTAAGGTGCAGCCCGAGTTGCATGAGCAAAAGTTCCTCCTGTGCATGCAAAGTGTGTGTGTGTGGGGGGGGGGGGTGGGAGCAGGGGTCCTGGCCACGCGCTAAGAAGGGATCTTTCAGTGACAAGGAGGCAGGGACTTCAGGTCATTCTGGGGCTCGGGAAGGTCTACTCATTCCCCCTCCACCTGCCCCAGCAGGGCTCGGCGGGCTGAGCCTGCACACAGCAAAAACCTCTTTGCGAACCAATCACGCGTCGCTCGCGTGGGGCATTTAGTGGAGGTTTGTCACCTGCTTCGGGACTTTCTCCTGAGCGTCCGGAGTGCCGCTATGTCTGCAATCAACTGCCATACAATACCGCCCCTCGTCCCTTCCGACACGGAGATAAGGAGCGATCAGACCCTGAGAGTCGCGCGAAAGCCTGGGGCCTCGTGGTGCCCTAAGTCCCTGCTCTCTTTGCCCGAAACCCCGTCCGGAGCCCGCGCGCCCCCGTCCGCCCCGGCACCATCCCTGGCCCACCCCCCAATCCCGGACCCGGGACCAGAGAGACGATCCCCGCTCGGGCGGCACCTGCCGCGCCCTCGAGCTGGAAGGGGCGTGGATGGTGCACACTCGGTGTGTGTGGCCCGAACGGGAGGTCAGCGGCGCGGCAGGCAGGCTGCTCCAGGCCGGCCAGGAGGCGCGGCGGGCTCCCCCGCAGGCCGCCCAGCCGGAGCGCACGGGGCAGCCGGGTCCCGGCGGGCCACCACTTACCCTCCTGGGAGAGCGACGGCAGCGGAGGCAGCAGCAGCAGCAGCAGCGCCCAGAGGGCCAGTGCGGAGCGCATCGTGTCCTGGCCCCGGGCCCGGAGCAGGTGGCTGGCTGCTCGGTCGGCAGAGTGTCCGAGCGCCCTGGTCGGGAGAGCTCGGGCTCGGGCGCCGCTAGCGGAGGCCTGGCGGGGGCCGCGGCGGCCGAGCGGGGACCCGCGCTCCCGGGTGGCGCTCCGGCGGCCCCTCCTCGCGGCCGCGGCCGCTGCGGCAGAGCTGGGCTGGGGCCAAGCGGCGGGCAGAGGAGCGGCGGGCGGGCGGCTGCGTCGCGGGCGGTGTGTGCGCGGCTGCGGCCCGGGGAGCGGCTGCTGCGACTCCGTCCCGTCCGCGCCGCCCCCTCCCCCCCCCCCCCCCCCGGGGCGCGCTGGCGGCGGCGGGGCCGGGCGGGGCCGGGCTGGGCGGGCGCTGGGCCATGAACAATGAGCAGAGGAGGAAACTCCGCCCTGGAGAGCTGAGCGGCGGGAGGGGGAGCGCGGCGGGAGCGGGATGGTGGGGGGTGGGCACGGGTGGACGGGTGGGGATAGAAGCGGGGAGGGACTCCGCGCTGACCACTCCCGGCTGGAGGCTCAGGATGTCGCCCGACTAGCTTTTTTTTTTTTTTCCGGGGGGGGGGGGGTTTCGACGGGACCTCCGCACACCCCCGTCCCTTGCGCGCCCATATCCGGGGCCAGGCGAGCCCCCAGCTGTGTCCCCTGAGGACCCTTCGAGGACTCCGGGCTGCAGCGCGTCCTGTGACGCCCAGGAAGCCAGTGTCTCCCACCTGCCGGGTGCAATGCACCTGCCCGCGCCTCGCAGGGCTTCCGAGCAGGTCTGTGCTGCAGAGGGTGCGCTGGGCAGTCTGGGCTAAGGAGGTGCTTCATTTCTCCAAGCCTACCTTCCTCACTGGTGAAATGGAGGTGATGGTCCAAAAAAGTCAATAAGCACTTTTTTTTTTTTTTTTTTTTTTTAGGGATTCATATGTGCCAGTCAAAGAGCTTTGCCTATGTTAACTCGTTTACTCTTCACAGCATCCGTATGTTTAGCCTCATTTCGCGGACAGGGAATCGAATCAAAAAGAGGTTAAGAAACTTGCTCGGGGGGGCAGACCTGCCTCTGAGAAGAGTAGTTTGGGGAAAAAAATACTTTGCACAGCATTTGGCAAGTGGTTGTTTCTCAATAAGTATTAGCTTTTATTCTCTTTTAAAGCTGTTCTTCTTAATCTTGCTAAAGAAAGAACAGCAATAAAGATTTAGGGCTCTGGGGTCAAGACGGACTTGGGCTCCAAATCCAGCCGCGCCATCAAAGGCCGGGGCGGGGCCAGCCACTCTCGGTGCCTGGATTCTCCCTTCCCCTCTGCATTACAGGGATAACGACACCTGCCCTCAGAGGGTGCGTGGCTCTGAGGCTTAAACAAAATGGTATGGAAGAGCACTGAGCACGGGGCCAGGACCACAGAAAATCCCCGTCAATGAAGTGGCCAGCGCTCGACGTCCTGGCGACAAATTTGCAAATTTGGGATGGGGACGGGAGTTGAATTCCATTAACCGAGAGCACCCAGTGAAAGAACAAAAGAGCACCCCCCCCTTCCTTGTTTTCTTTTCAAAAGCTGCCATGCATTGGGGCCGGGGGGTGGGGTGGATGGGGAGCTGGGCGGAGGTGTCTGCAGATTTGTGGCTCCCTGCAGAGCAAGCGCAGCCGCAGCGCAGGTGGCTGGGGAGGGGGGAGGGCGGAGGAGGGGGGGGTGGCGGCAAGAGGGGGGCGCGCAGGGGCAGAAAGCGGACCTAAAGCGGGAGGAGTGATTAACCCGGGTTTGGCCACTTGACTATTGGGTAGATAATCCAGCCAGATAGGTCTGGGATGTCCCCAGGACCCAGTCCCGCGCCAAAGACCCCATACTCCTTGAGCCCACCAGGCCGGCTGCAGCATCCCGGAGTCGCCAAGGAAGCGCTGAGCCCGGGCTGTGGTTGCGCCACAGCCAGGGCTGCAGCTTGGAACGACTGACCCGGCTGTTTTCCTCAGGAAGTTTCTGCAGGATCGAGCTGGCCCTGTTTTCCAGGCTGCATATGGGAAAGACAGAGGGTGTTCCCTACAAAGCTGTGGGATGTGTGACTATCTTTGACATTTTTTAGTACTGTTCCCCTCCTATCCATGTCAACAAAAGATTTGTTTGTCAGAAACCAAGTGTACTCTTAAAAAACTGAGCATTAAAAGTTTTGTATTGTATGCTGTGTGATTTAAACAGTTTTTGCACTCAACGAATCGATTTCTGGAAAAACATGTTAACTTTGTAAAGGGAGATTATATATATATTTCAAAACTTGGAGTTTTTTGTTTTTGTTTTGTTTTGTTTTTGTGGTTGTTTGTTTGTTTGTTTGTTTGCCCTGCTGGCATGGCTCAGTGGTTCAGCGGCGACCTATGAACCTGGAGGTCAGGGTTCCACTCCCCATCAGAGCACATGCCCAGGTTGAAGTCTGGATCCCCTTTGTGGGGTTTGCAGGAAGCATCAGATCAATGATTGTCTCTCATCATTGATGTTTTTTCCTTTCTTCCTTGCCCTTCCTGTCTGAAATCAGTAAAAATATAAAAACAAAAAACGTGGAGCATTTTAAATTCACAGGATTTGGAATTGGTCCTGATCGTGCCAAATAAAATGAGAGTAGACATCCAGGCTTAGGAAACCAGGCTAGTTTTTGTAGCTAAAGACTCAAAATTAGCTCTGGACCCTCCCCAGTATCCCACAGCCCATCCCCCTTCGTGCACAATGGGCTTTCAGGAATGAGGCTGAGGCTGGCTGGGCTTAGGGCTCACCTGTGATCTGTCCTCAGGTAATCAGCCTATGTCCTTGGCCCTACTTAACATCTCGCCCACAATAGCAAACTCAATATTCCAGATCACCTGAGCTTCTAGTCAAAACTCAAAGCATTTTATAGATGCTATCCCACTATCCTTTAGAGATTTATTACATTTTGTTTATATGAATGCATGAATTAGATCCCCTAGAGCCGTGTCAGCAGCAAACTGCGGCTTGTGGGCCACATGCGGCTCTTTGGCCCCTTGAGTGTGGCTCTTCCACAAAATACCACGTTCGGGAAGAGTCTATTTTGAACAAGTGGCATTAGAAGAAGTTTAAGTTTAAAAAAAAAAAAGGCTCTCAAAAGAAAGTTCAATCATTGTTCTGTTGATATTTGGCTCTGTTGACTAATGAGTTTGCCGACCACTGTTCTAGAGGAATTTAACCTTCTTAATGTGGGGTCTTCTTCAGACCACCCAGAACAGCAAGCCATTTCATAGTTATAGATGGGGATACTGAATGCAAACATGAATACCAACTGGGAGATATGAATACCACAGGAACCTGTGGGACGAGGTTTAAAATGGTTTTCCCCCTGCTCTCTATCAAAGTCAGGGTCATGATTCTCGGCCCCACGTGACGTTGCTGCCCGCATCCTTAAATGTATGCAGGTTTGGTAAAGTCCTCTTTATCCTCATCCTAAGTAACTTTAATCCCAGTCACAGGATCTACACTGAGAGATGGGGCAGAGCCTCCAGCCGCCACACCCCAGACAGAAGACAAAAGCACAGCTATTCATCCTGAAGCCGCAGCACCTGCTCATGAGGTGCCAGGGATGCTCCCCCTTTGGTTTTTTAACCCCTGACCCCGGAGTTCCTTGGGAGCTTGGGGCAGTATTTCCTTCATCTTGGAATCTCAGTGCCCACATTGGTGCCTAACCCCAAAAAGGTTGTCAATGCACATGGGCTGAATAAAGACGCATTTGGGGTTTATCTCCGAGGCTGGGCTTTATCTCTGACTGCCAAGCTGTGTGATTCTATGAATATCAGCTGGGGTTCGGGTTGGCCACCTCTCCCCAAAGGTACACACTTACATATTATTATTCAACAAGAGCTACTCTAGCGCCGTATGCCAGGTTCTGTGCACAGTGGTCACACAGTGCTGAGAATGCAGCCAGGGAGGGCACAGCCCTGCCCTCTCGGGAGAAGCACCACCTGAACACACACATAGCTGAAGTGCCATGAGCAGGCATGTGGGAAGCAGAGTGACACAGGCTCAGCAGGGCCGGGGAGGTCAGGGAAGGCTCCTGAGGAGGAAACGGGGTCTTGGAGGGGGCGTAAGACTCCACCAGGGGAAGAGCAAAAGGAAAGGCATTCACACAGGTGGAACCACACGTGGAAGTGAAGAGGGGCCCTGGGAACCACAGGAGGGTAAGGTCTGTAGGGAGCGAAAGAAGAAGCTGGAGAGACCAATAGGGGTGAGATTCCAATACAATGGAGAATCTCTGAAGGGTCACAAGCAGAAAGAGACAAGACGGGCTTTCCATACGAGTGAGCAACGTCATTCTTGCTGGAATGAATGGAAGGATATGGAGGTGAGCACAGCACTGAGAGGCCTGAGCAGCAGTGACGCTGGAAAGAAGAGGTACTGGGGTGGGGAGGTGAACTGATAGGACTTAATGGCCATTGAATGTGGACTTAGTATGTGGTGTGTTGCAGGTGGGAGGCATGGTAGTGCGTCTAGTAGTCCGTGTTCCTGGGTGGATTACCCCGAGTGCTGTGGCTCAGTGTCACTGAGATAGAGGACATAAGAAGAGAAGCATGTTGGGGTGAAGAAAACGATGAGCCCCGTTGTGAACATGTTGACCCTAAAAACCCCTGGGGCACTCAGGAGCCACGTCTAGAAGTTCTATCTGTGACCCTGAAGCTCAGAGCTGAGGTCAGGACTGGAAATAGAAACTGGAGAGCCATCAGTGTGCAGGCGGGACTGCAGCCATGAGTGGAGGTGATAAGCCTGGAATACTTGCAGTGGACAAGAGGCCGGAGCAGAGCCCTTCCAACTCTGCAGAGTGAGCTGAGGAAGGGGAGGGAAGCTGCGCAGGAGGTAACTAAGGGAGAAGCGTGCCTTGGAAATGGAGGGAGAAGAAAGTTCTCATCAGAAGCAGGTGGTCAAGAGGGTCACCTGCTGCAAGGACTGAACTCTGATGACAGCATGACCATGAAAGAGCCGTTGGGATGTTGCCCAGAGTGA